AGAGCTAACCTCCCCTTGCACTTGAGCAATTATCTTTCAAAGTCAAGTGCATATCCGTAAATACAGAAAAACAAGTTATTTTTTTAATTTTGAAATTCCCACCATGTCATAGAAAAACTGCAACAAGTGGCAACCCCCAATCCTTTGGATACTCTTACTTTGTATCTGCTAAGTTAGCCATTAGTTGTGCCAAAAAAATTAATATCATCTCTTCCATGGTTTGTTATGGAGTTGTATGAGATGGTGTGTGTGTGTGTATGTTTGTTTGTTTGTGCTTGGTGATGGCTTGGTTGGCTGTTTGGCGTTGGAGCATTTCCCTGATTCTCTTATCGGCGAGTTATTATTATTTTTGTTTAATTATGACGCCAAACAAGAACACCACTATCACAACACGGTCAGTGGTATCGTGCTCTGCAGCGAGCGACACACCGAACGATCATTAACACAGCACAGCAGCTGTTCGACAGCAGCGAAAGCAAATTGAGTGTGGCGTTGGTTGGTTAGTTCGGTCGTTCGTTCGTTCGTTTCATTCATTTTGGGTGACAAGAGTGAATATTTGCGGTTTCATGGGTGTGAGTATCACCACCAGCATGAAGCATGAGTAAGTGCCGGTCCGGTTGGTATTCGTTACGTTTTTAATTGTTACTTAAATCGCAATTCCTCTTCACTCAGTATACGTAGTAACCCAGTAGGAAATGTGACAAAAAGGGGGGATTGCAGAATGTTATACTAAAAAAATGGTGACTCTATAAAGTAACCGAACAGGACAGTCGGTCACGCAGTACCAAAAAGAGTTTCCATCCATGAACTGTTACGCTGAACAAATATTCTATCAGTCGTAGAAAATTCGATAGTTAAATATTGTGAATGAGAATTTTTCCTACCAACTAACTGAATTCGCAAATACATTTTCGAGTGTTGCTTACCCACACTCTACTTTCGGATATGCATCACCATGTACTTCGAATGTAGATGTCAAACTTGAAAGTTCACATTTCTGATAATAATAATCTTACCGATACAGAAAATGAAAAATAACTTTTTTAAATTTAACCAACGACAAAAAAACGCTGAAAATTATAAGTATATAAATTTATATATAAGAAAATTTCAGATAATGCTTAGCTTTATGACAGCTAAGGGCTATATAAAAGCTCCAAACATGGCTAAACAAGCCACCAACGATTTATGAGTGATTGACTACAGGCGGTATCCGGTCCACAAATGCTGGGAAGGTTTGGTTTCAAAAAAGTTAATGATAAAGGCAGATTTTTAAGAGCTATAGGAAACGAATGAAGAGAATTGAATGAAAAAATGTAATCTAATAAATGTCCTGGTCATGACAACATCAACATAAAGATGTTAAAATTATGTAAAAGTTTTGTTGTACCACAAATGGTTTTTTGCATTTAATACCATTTTGAATCTGATGTATATTCTGATGTATAAAACTCCGAAATCTTAGCAATCCCAAAACGTAGAAATTCATGCAAGGTTGATAATTTCAGACCCATTGCATTGTTATCAATTCTTGAAAACATATTAGAAAACAACGTTTGTTTATTAGTGGAGAACGATGGTAATGGGTAAGCAGGGAATACCTAGGTTTCGGAAACAGCCACCAATCCTCATCATTTCTCTTGTTTTTTGTCTGGGATATTCTCCCCATAAGTTATTTTAAAAATATCTTCTATGACAAAAAACTAGTTTTATCCAAGTGACGAGATCTTATGCTCAATAGAAGAGGGACCAAAGACTTAAATAAAACTAAATTTCTTTTGGAAAATCTTCTAAATCTTATAACCCCACTTATAAACATTTTCATCTTTCTCCACTTGTTATGCTTTCGTTTTACATGAACGAAGTAGCATAACCATATAAGTTGGTCACTTTGGTAAAAAAAAGTTTTTTGTCATAGAAGTTATTTTTAAAATAACTTCTGGGGAGAATATCCCAGACAAACAACAAGGGATCTGATGAGGATTGGTGGGTCTTTCCGAAACCTAGGTATTCCCTGCCTTACCCCCTGGTAAACATTACCATCGTTCTCCACTAATAAACAAACGTTGTTTTTATAAAAACAACAATAAAGGGATTAAGTCTGTTCTCTTAGAAAACAAGTAAAAATACAGCTAAGTTCGGCCGGGCTGAACTATCTATACTCTCCACCATTCGGGAGGAACTTAAAATTTTTCAAAACAAAAAAAAAAATCCACCAAAAAATACCTTGAAATGAAAACCTATATATGGAAGCTTTATACAGACGTGGTGGTGCATAAGTATTTTTTGTCATAGGCTATATTAACGATTCCGAACTTTAAATACGAAATTTGAAATGGTTCTTGTGAATAATGTCGTTAATATCATCAAATTACCGAATAAAGGGAGCTACCATTGTATGGGGGCTATAGAAAGACGCGGAACTGCACAGACAATTTTCTGTGATACAATTCCGGTGAATTTCGTAAAATCATCAAAATACCAAATATCGGGAGGTGCTGGTATATGGTGGCTATACGAAGGCGTGGAGCTGCACGCGCAATTTTCTGTTATAGGCTGTAGTATCCGTTATGAACTTCAAATACCAAATTTGAAACAATTCCAGTGAATAATGTCGGTATAATCATTAAAATACCGAATATCGGAAGGAACCATTATATGGGGGCCATACCAAAACGTGAACCTATATGGCCCATTTTCAATACCAAAAGTCTTGCAGACATAATATACATTTGAGTAAAATTTTATCAGCCTACTTCATTTCGTTCGGAAGCTAGAGTGATTTCCAAAGACGTACAGATGGATATCGCTAAATCGACGTAGAATTTTATGCTGATCGGATTCAAACGAAATTACAAACTTAATATACCCTCGATACTATGGAAGAGGGTATAAAAATTTACACAGGTAAATAACTACGTACTTAAAGGAATCTAACTTTTTATATCAGTTTCAGTTATCAGTTTAGGAAAGGTTGTACGCAGGAAACGATAGTCAATGTTGTTAATACAATATGCATAATAGGCTAGACAAAGGTTGGAGTAACTGGAGTCTTTTGAAATCTTGCTACATAAGCTTCAGTGTTATTGAATCACAAAAGCTTCTTGTAAAACAGGGACCACTTTGTTCAAGCAAATAATTGTAGTGGAATGAAGTGCGTTCAGTGTGGAGTTCCCCATGGCAGTGTTTTGGGTCCATTGATGTCCAAAATTTATTTAAATGATATTGAAAATATAAATATAAGCTAATAATATATATATTGACGATAAGTCCATTTTATCCCTATTCTCGCGATGCAATTTTAAAAGGTCAGATTGAAGATGAATTACAAGAACATAAGTTTATAATAAAAAACGTTTAATCAAAATCATACGAGTTTTAACAAAAGAAACAGTTCCAATCTTCATATAAAATGGTGTAGGCTTGGTGCTACAAAACAAAGAATTTAATAGTGAAAAGGAAATAGGCAGCCAGTCCTGAACGTGAAATAAAATGTTCCCCGAACTGGCCTTTCAATGTTTTTCTTTAAATAAAAGAAGGAACATAATGTTTTATTAACATAAAACATAGCTCTATGTTAATGGCTTGTTGAAACCACCTGTGATGCAAATCAAGTTCTTGCATTTTGAGCAAAAAAATTGGATGTCATCACACGGTAGCGCTCACCATTCACAGTTATGTTACAATTCGCAACATCTTTAAAGAAGTACTGTGGAATGATTCCTCTAGCCCATACACCGCACCAAACTATGAATTTTTGGAATGATCCTGTATAATATTTACTCCCATTATGCAAAAAATCAGCTGCGTCACTGAATATGATGAACGATCAACGTTCCTAACAGAGCACGCATTGTATACCCTCCACCATACACAGTATGGGGGTGTATTAATTTCGTTACTCGTTGGTAACTAATCGAAATAATAATTTTAGAGACAACAAGAGCAACGATATCGTATAGCCGCCATATAACGGTACCCCCCAATATTGGGTATTTTGATTATTATTATAGCCACATTTTTCAATGGAATTGTCTGAAATTCTACACAATAAGTTCCTTCTGAGTATTTCGCCCCCTGAAAGAGAACTGCCTATATAGGTCCACGATATCGTATAGAATTTTATGCTGATCAATAATCATTTTCTTTTGCAGATCTGCAGAAAAATTACAACAAACTTAATATACAAATGTCAATAGGCCATTTTAAGTTTTCATAATTAGTAGGTTTTATGGTATGTATAAATTAAATATTTTTTGCAGGTTTAACCCCCTTTATGAGGATTTATTTGACGCATATGCTATGGAATTGGCAATTTAAATCCACTGGATTTACTTAATCTGTTTGACAGCAAACATCACTATCATTCAATATTTTAATAATTTTGAAAAAAAAATATATATTCAAAAGAAGTGTTTAATCTTACATTTACGCCAAGAAACCCATATCTTGGTGTTGAGCAGATTTTTTCCCCTTTACTGGGGGGAATAAAATCACTTCTTGAATACACATTGTGCATGTTATTGGCCCACTGTGCATAAAACATTAAATTCACCAATCGTTTCCGTTTGCCGATTTTCAATTTTCCGCTACGTCAACTGTGTTTCCGCCGTTCAACGTTTTAAGAACGAGAAACGAAACAGAAAACAAAATCCAATAATGTAACGAACTCAATATGTTGTATAGCGACGGAACGACCGACCGACTGGCTGACATAATGTCACAAATGTTGTGCAAATGCAGCATTACTTGTTTTGTTGTTTTCCTTTTTTGCTTTGCAGTTTTTCAATAGAATTGCGCTCAAAGGGAATTCCACCAAGGCATCATCGTCATCATGCTCTAATTGGAAAAAATCGAAAATACACAGCCTAACCATTGGTCTTCCTATTGGAGTACAAATCACACCAACATACACACACACTCAAAGATAAATATGCGATTTGTTTTGTTTTTTGTTTTGCAACAAATTATTCATTGGGATTTGGTTTTGGAAAATTTACCTTTATTTCATTATTCTCCGCTTAACAATTGAGGCCATAAACATTGAGCCGTAGCAGCAGCAGCAGCAAAAACGACAACAACACACAACAACAGCGGTAGGTACCACCAACAATGAATTTCAATTTCAATACGCACAACACACACACATCTGCACGACTAGAATTAATTTTTTTTCTTTTGATTTTTCACATTGCACTCTCACCAGCAGTCCCCTTTTCGTTTATCTCCCTCCCCCCTCTGACCGACCGTTCCTACAGCTGCTGTCACAGCTGCCTGCGATTGGGGCTCCAAAAGATAGGTACCTTTTTGGATGTTATGTTGATATTATTTTGCCATTGCTGTGCTGTTTTGGGTTTTCTTTTTTCGTCGTTTTGTTTCTTTTCTTTTGATTTTTCTGCTTAAAACTTGATTTTGTTTTGAGTTTTAAATGAAATTTCAATTCACTATTGCAAAGGACCAATCGAATGTCCGATTTGAGTTGGAGTTTTTGAATTTTCTTGAAGTTAAAAACGGTGCAAACTAGGATTTTTTCAGGTGCTCGAAATAAAAAACGGAAAAATCTGTTGTGTCTGTAGCTGTGTCTGTACTGACTGTTGTGTACTGTGCGATAATAAGTGCGAGTGTGTGTGCGTGTGGCTGTGTGCTGCTGTATTTAAAATGGGGGGAATCAAAACAAAAACCACTAACTTTTGGACGGGGTGTGTTCAGTGAATGCCAGCCAGTATTGCCGTAGTCTCCATTCTTTGGCGGAAAGAGAGAGAAAGAAAAAGTGCGACAAAGAAAAACGAGTTAATAATCGTTACAAATATCATATTTAAATTATTTTTTTGGTTTTAATTATTATTTTACTCCCGATTAAAATAGTTCAGAAATTTTATGAATGTAAGGAAATCAAACGCAATTAGAGTTGCACCTCACATCACTGATATGATTGGAGCGTGAGAAAAGAGCGTGAGTAAGAAAAGTTCACTCCCGAAGTAAAGGTGGCGACGTTGAAAAATGGTAAATTTTTAGAATGTTTTGCGCATTTTTTGTTTGAAAACTCATACTTTGTTGGTTGGGCGCCACCGATTTAAATTTAATAGTAATATATGGCCCACCAGATTAAAAAAATATTCGCTGTTTTGCACGGTAAATAAAGATATATCCCGATTTCGCTGCAACAAAAAATGCTAGAAATAACAAAATGAGTAACATTTAAAAATCGAAGAATTAATGCCTATTTGTGTCCCTGACTTACAGCCCAAGACCAACTTCGAACGGTCGAACGTGGGGCGAATTCAGGCATTAGAATTCCCTTGCTGTCAAAGGTTATTACTCGTAAGATCCAACAACAAAAAGTACGAAACTGTAAAAAAAAATAATTCATACATATTTGTAAATTTTTTTCAGAATTATAAATTGAATTATATCATTGTCAAAATGGTTATTCAGTCTGTTTTCATTGAAGTTAAATTTGACAAATAAAATGAGGTTATCTTAAATAATTTATACAAAGGATGTGCAGTTAAGTCTTTATAAAAGTTGAAATATTAAATATATATCTATTCCAGAATCTTCAAAAATCTACTATTTTTTTCAATATCATAAAGGGAAAATCGGTAATTGTAGTAAACATTTTACATTCTTGCAGTTCTGGAACAGACCAGATGTTTCTATTTGAAAAAAAAATGTGTTTCAAGATCAAAAGAAGTCAGATGGCCTTTCTGTGTCGCCTTGTAAATACAGCATATCGTAGCACAAAAAACATTGAAATTGGAAATAATTTAATTAATTTGCCTCTTGTGTGTTATGTTTGTAAATCTTGGATTTGGTAAAGCGTATATTCATTAATTATTATATATTTATATTGACAGAATTAAACCACATCTTATTTTGTTGACTACAACTTTATTCATTTACAACTTTGAAATGTAGAATTTGTAAACAAATTTTATTTTTCTTCTTTTTTGATGGACTGAATTCGACTTGGTATAGCGTTAATTTTTAATTAAATGTTATTGAGAGCGCCTAAAAGTATGCCATAAAAATGCAACATAATGCATAAAATAGACCTAACCTCTGAACACACACTTAACTGAACAGCGACTTCAAACGACTGTACGACTTTAAACTATCACAATTGCAGTCTCGCACCATTTATCTGCCGGTCATATACCTAAAGAGATGCAGCGGCACCATATGATGATTGTAATAACCTTTGGTCATTCGGACCTGATGTAGTGTAGGCTGGCTAAAGGAACAGAAGAGTTGCAAAATTCAACGCTAACGTAACTCTCGAACTGGAATTTAAAGCGTAGGGCCGCATTGTATCTCAATGGTAATGTTTAAACAGCTGAATGAGCCGGGAGTCAAGTGCCTGAGAAAGTTCTCCATCCTAGAAAACGATAGATGGTTCTGCTACGAAATTACAGTACATAATACAGACCGTACAGTTACAGTACATAAGACCGTAAAGAAGAATCTAGAGGTATTACTCCTCCACATTCTCAGATAGTGCTTATAGGCAGCAGCACGTATTACATACCATTTTCGTGCATATTTATAAGTGGATCAAAACAGGAACAGTCAATCATGTCATACTACCAGATATATTGGGTCGGGCGCTAATCATACGTAAAATTCAAGGCCCGCAGAATACAAGATATATTTTCTATTGAGGATCGAATAAGGAGTGTCAGAGCTAAATCTGAATTCTGTCGTCGCTTTCCTTTATAATAATTAATATACCATCCTTATGTGAGTAAGAAAACCTTCTTATGTGAAGGTAAGGTAAGGTAAGGGACTATAGAAATGCCACTCTGTGCTAGAATATTACTATTGCTCTGTTCCAGTACCTGCAGGAATTTTTTCGATATCATAAAGGAAAAATCTGTTTTCGTAGTAATAACATTCTTGCAGTTCTGGAATAAACAATTTGTCAGCGAACCTCGGTGCAAGGTTTGCAAATTTGTTAGTATGTGGTGTAGTTAAAAGTCCTCAAGTCATCATTAGCAAATACAAGTGCTACAAGAAAATCGGCTTTCAAATGTTTAGGACTTCAGATTACAGCATATGCAGGTAGTCTAAGGTGCTAAAATATTCGCCTTATGGACAGGTATTTTCACTTAGTCACAGAAATACCATCATATCTAGAGAAAAAGATTCAGTGATAAATCAGGCATTCTCCAAACCCAAAGGGCTGAATATCATACACACTGAAGCAGTCGCAAAGGCAAAAAAGAATATAGAGTTAGTTCCATCATCATCAGAAGAACGACGTCCTTTTCGAAAAATTAGAGTCGATTTTACAAAGATGGGATAAGAATAATGCAGCCACCTCAATTCGTACAACCGGTAATAATACGATCCTGAAGTCTGCATAATCGTTCTGTAAGTCCCGCTACTAAAGCCAACGATGCCAGCAAAGGCAAGTCATATAGGCCGATTGCGTTTTCGCCATTAGCAAATACTTTTGGGCTTTACATCTTCCCATTATTAAGGGACGCTACCTAGTTGTCGACCATCATTAGGGGTTTCACTAAGGACATTGTATTACAACAGCCCTGCACGCCATATCCACACATATTAGACGCTCTTCCAACCGAGGAATATATAAATATCAACATTTACCAACTCCGGCTTTGGGAGCAGCATTTCCCTAATTTTTTTGATCTGCGCCGGGATTAAACGGAACCCCAGACCTTGGTTCTACACGATTTTCCAGAAGGTCATCCACTACAGATCTGTTTCGCTGCGATATAATGGATATAGAACATAGGTGCACTCTAGTAAACCCTGAGGGGTAGAGAAAATAGCAGTACGTCCAAATCGAGTGTAATTTAATTTCGACCACAAGCTGCCTCAAGCTCCTAGGGGTTTATTCGAAAGCATGTTCAAGTCGTCCGCTCAAGCCATAGCTATCTCGGATAAATTTAAAAGTAGGAACGAGGCCTACTGTAATCGATCTCCTCATAGGAAGGAAAATAATATTGCGTAGCCTTTGAGAAATAGTCCTTTGTCCACAGACTATTAGCTAAACAGAAAAATATTTTCTTGGCCTGGTTAAATTATACAAGAACAGTTAAAGGTGTGAAATATGTTTTGATATTCTTTACTCGTGGAAGATTTTGTTATAAAAATATTATGTACCCGATTTTTTAGAATGAAAACAAGTAAAAAAGCTGTAAGTTCGGCCGGGCCGAACTTTAAATACCCTTCACCATTTGGAACAAAATCCGTTAAAAATACTGTTAAAATGTTAAAAATACTGAATGTAGCCGTATATTAGGGTCTATACGAGGACGTGGACCTGCATAGGCAACTTTTTTTCATAAGCTATTACAATATTCAAATGCGAAACTTGAAAAAATATTCTGTTTATAATGTCGCTAAAATCATCAAAATACCGAATATACGGAGGTACCATGGGAGTTATAAAATGAATGAATAATCTCGCTAAAATCTTAAAAATACCTAATATCGGGAGGTACCGTTATATGGGGTCTATACGAAGACGTGGACCTGCACGGACAATTTTCTGCCATGGGCTGTAGTTTCCACGACGAACTTCAAATACCACAATTTGAAATAATTCCGTTAAATAATGTCGCTAAAATCATCAAAATGCCGAATATCGGGGGGTGCCGTTATATGGAGGCTATACGAAGACGTGGACCTGCACAGGCAATTTTCTGTCTTAGACTGTAGTATTCATTAAGAACTTCAAATACTAAATTTGAAACAATTCCGGTAAATAATGTCGCTAAAATAATCAAAATACCGAATATCGGGAGGTACCGTATATGGGGGCTATACGAAGACTAGGTACCTACATGGTTCATTTTCAATATCAAAAGTCCAGCAGATATAACACATTTTTACCAAATTACTACATTTCGTTCGGAAGCTAGAGTGATTACCACAGACGGGCGGACATCGCTAAATCGACATAGAATTTTATGCTGATCAAGAATATATTACTTTGTGGGGTCGAAAATGTATATTTCTAGGAGTTACAAACGGCATGACAAACTTAATATACCCTCCATACTATGGTGGAGGGTATAACAATACATAAAATAACCGTCGAGTAAAGTTTCTGCATTCCCTAAAGTAGTATTGCATCATTTTGCATCTCCTGACCAAGCTCTTAGAATTTCTATTTCCACATTCAAAAGGGATTAATAGTAACCGAGTGAATCATTAAACTTTTCTCAAGTATTTGAAATTACAAATGTATAGTTTAATTTTAATAAATATCATTTTTGGACGTTTTTATTTAAATGTTTATAGTTTTTTTTGTTTTGTTTTAATTTGATTGTTTGTTTCTTCCTTACATTCTTCATTTCTTTTCTGTTTCAATTTTTTTGGTTTCACATTGTACATTTTATTGTTATTTTGCTTTGCTTTTAACATTTAATACCTAGGTATATAGAGTTAGTTAGTACATAAATATCTAAAGGCACATTGCATACGTGTAAATTTTATTTTGTTTTTCTTGTATATATGGATGGTTTTTATATAAATTATTTTAGTGTAGATCGTAGATGGAAGAAAACTTAAATTTATATTTCTTATTCTTATATATGTTTGTATTATAGAAAAAAAAACAACTTAAAATTTGTGTGTTATAAAAAAAGGAAATAACTTTTTATCTCTCTATCTTGTGAATGCCTTAGATTAGTAGTTTAACAACATCAACACATCCTATTTTGTGTTATTTTCTCTCTTTTGGTTTGTACACATTTACAAAGGAAACATTCATACATATTCTCTTTAGACAATAATTAGTTAAAAAAAACATCTAATCCGAAAATACAAACAAACATACGTGCAAAGATATATTCCGTTTGACTTAAAATTAAACAGCTCACAGTTATGATTACATTTGGAGAACAAGGCCTGTCTGTACTTATACTTAGTCTTTTCAAGAAAAAATAAATTGGCATGATTTAAGTAATGGCAAGAAGCAAACTGTCCTTGTTGTTGATGTTATTGTGCATAAATACAAACAACAACAATCCCTGTATTCTTCTAATCCATTTTTTGTTTCAGTGTTTCCTCATGGGCCTGAAAAAGATGTGGAGGGGACATTAGCAGATGATTTAAACTTCAAAATCGATAAATTTCCACTTACCTTTTGTGCTACTTTCAATAGATTTTCATATGTAGATTTTCCCGTTTGCTTTACCATGCCCTGGAATACATTCTTTTCACTTTCCGTCAACAGTTCATAGGGTGAACCGAACTCCACCACTTGACCAGCATCCATGACCAACACTTTATCCGAATCCATGACCGTGTGCAGTCTATGGGCTATCGTTAGGACGGTACAATGTTTAAATTTGTGACGTATGGTGGTTTGAATCAATGCATCCGTTTGGGGATCAACATTGGCGGTGGCCTCGTCCATAACCAAAATACGATTTTCACGTAAAATGGCTCGAGCCAAACAAACCAATTGGCGTTGGCCGACACTGAAATTGGAACCGCCCTCTGAGATTTTGGTTTGTAAACCATTCGGCAATTCGGAGACAACATTCTTCAGTTGGACCTAAAAACGAAATGCAACGAATTAGTTCATTAGCTTCCACATCTAAAGCACATACCTCTTCCAAAGCTTCCCATAGTTTGACATCGGAATATTCATCAAATGGATCTAAATTATAACGCATTGTTCCCGAAAAGAGTACCGGTTCCTGAGGTATAATGGAGATTTTGCTACGCAAATCGTGTAAGCCCATTGATTTTGTATCGCGGGAATCAATGATGATGGAACCATCGGTATAGGACAAACGGAATAGGGCATTTATCAGGGATGACTTGCCAGCACCGGTACGTCCAACAATACCCACTTTTTCACGAGCCTTAATTACAATGTTCAGTGACTTTAGGACATATTCCGATTTGGGATCTGGGAAGTAGCGCAAGCTTAACTCGTCAAATACCACCTTGCCTTCCTCGGGCCATGTTTTGGGTGGCTTCTTGTCTTCGGCCGATTCTAATTCACCCTCAGGATCAATGTCGTCATATTCCACAACACGTTCCACCGCAGTCATGGTATTTTCCAATTCTGCCGATTGTCTCATTCCCCACTGTACCATGCCCGTCATACCCATTGCCTGGGTAATGGCTAAACCCACATCGCCACCATTTTCTGGGGCAAACACAAAGAAACTCAAGGTGATAATGGCTATGAAGATGACACAGAAACAATCCAGCCAATAGCCAAAGGCACGTGATGTACTAATGAAGAGGAAAAAGGCAGAGCTATGTAGATCCTGGTAGTTATCGAATTCCTTGATTAGAACGCCTTGGGCACCAAATGCACGTATCGTGGATAGGCCCGTCAGGGATGCACCCAAATGTGAATAGATGGGGGAACGAGCTGCAAAGGCAAACAAAAGACATTATTGACAACTGAATGAATTCATGCTTGGGAAACACCTACTAATGGCTTCCAAACGTTTAACATTTCGTGATGTCTTCAGATAGAATGTCCTCAGATTATAAAATATAATGGCCAGTATAAATGTGGGCAACAGATACAGGGGATTGACCACAGATATGACAACGACAATGCCAAAAAGTGATAGGAAAATTTGTATCACATCAATCATCACAGATGGCAGAATCTCATCGATTTGACCCATGTCTTTGGAGAAACGATTAAGTATACGGCCGGAGGGATTTGTATTGAAGAAGTACATGGACGCCCGGGTGATGCCCCTAAACATGGAATTGTGTAAGTTCTGCGATGCTCTCATGGCCACATTGAAGAATAGAAAACTACGTGTAACTGTTATGACAATGGTGGCAACTGTTATAATCGTGAAGATGTAGATGTCAAGCATTTCTGGATGTATGTGAATACCATACTGGGACAACCATTTGGAAAGGCTTGTCTCCGTTTGGTGTGACGATGACCAAGCTAGGGGATCCATGGTGGTGGTGGATGTTCCATGTAAGGAGTCATTAAGGGCGGCAGCAGTTACATATTCCACACGTTTGGCCTCCAACGAACCTTTTTTATTTACCCTAAATAACAAAGTGAATTATTCAATATATTTTGAAAATAGAATTTGAACTTAGCCATTTACTTACCAATAAGACAGGAAATAATCACCACATGAAGCCAAGCCCTGAGACATTATACAAAACACTAACATAACGAAAAACATAAAGAATCCTCCGCCTGCCTTGAAATATTTCTTATAGAGATCTAGTCCAATTTTGCCCTCTTCCTGGGTTTCCTGCACCTGGGTGGGTGTATCATCCAGTGTTGAATCGGCAACTGAGTTAATAGATGCCACACTATTTTGACGATCGATTAGACGACTTCCTGATCTAGGACGGGATTTTGCAGCTTCCATTGATTCATCATTTTCCGGATCGGCCAACATTTGAGCAAAATCATGGCCACTTTCACGCAACGACTCATATGTACCCACAGCACAAACACGACCCTTATCCATGATGACTATCTGATCGGCTGACTGTAGGAATTGCAGTTGATGTGTCACCAGGACCACAATATTGTCACGCAACAAGCCACGCATACACTGATCGAATAAATGACGTCCCACATGGGTATCAACAGCACTGAGAGGATCATCCAGAAGATAAATTGATGTTCTACGATACACAGCGCGAGCCAAACTGATACGAGCTTTTTGACCACCCGACAATGAGGCACCACGTTCGCCAACAATGGTCTTATCACCATACGGCAGCAATTCAAAATCTCTTTCCAAGGCACACTTTTTCACCACAGCATGATAGCGTCTTCTGTCCATCGGTTGTCCAAACAATATATTCTGTCGTACGGTGCCGGTGAATAGCCATGGTTCTTGTGAGGCATACGAAAATGTACCATTTACTGCAATTGTACCCGATTCCGGCTTTAGTTCACCCAAGATACTTTGTATTAAGCTGGAGGGCGGGAAACAAGAAGAGATTGATTAAAAATGTGTTTACTCTTCCAATTGGAAATGGAATTGGGGGTTATAGTCATTATCTTTGATCCCGTGTTATAGCGTAATGGAAGAGATAAAATCAATTCATCAGAACAAATTTGATTATGAACTTTATAGGTAGTGTTTAAAATTCCTACTTCTATTTCAAAACCGCTGCCCATCAAACCAAAAACTTAAAATAAATGGGAGAATGATCTACGTGTACTCAAAACATCCTTTTTGATAACCGAGATTGTAAACCCATGTATATCTAATGAGATATATATCGTAAATGGTACAAGTGCTGCAGTACAGTTCTTCATTAAAGGATCAGGATGTTCGTTGTGAAGTCGGATGCAAGCGAGAGGCTTTCGAGGCATAAAGGGACAGTAATCTGGGATTGAAACCTTTAATTTTCAAAAAATTTCAATTTTGAACTGGAATTGTCCGCGAAATCGGTTATAGAATCCAATTGAAGTCTTCAAAACATCAAAAAGTGGGGAGTACCGTTACATAGGGACAATATCAAAACAAGAATCTTCACAGTTAGTTTTCTGCCAGAAGTTTAGATATTTTTTTGCGAGTCTCAAGTACCAAACTTGAAACAATTCCGCAAAAAAATTTACAACCGGACATTGCTTACTGGAATTTTATGCTGTAGGTCCTAACGTGAAAATTTTGAGGAGTTACAAACGAAATAACAAAGTCAATATACCCTCCATAGTGGGATTATTCTAAGGGGCTATTCTATATGGTAGTTTCAACGATAATAAAAACTTTTAGCCACTTAAGAAGAAATAAATCGGTCTGTCCTTAATTGTACTGGTCCTCCATAGACTTCATACAATAATAACATGCGACAGTAGGCGGCAAACAACCCCAAAAAAATATCCAGATGACGAGCGTATATCATCTGAAAAAAAAAAACGTTTGTATGCCTAAACGGAGGAGCATGATTGCTCCAAGAAACATAGGTGATTACTATCGGGCGCGTCCTCAGGTTGAAAACCCAGTTGATATTGATTAGCTGCGAATTACATAAACAGTCTGGGGGGAAGATGCTCGGCTTAAATAACCGATGGTCAGTAATTGATTGAATGACTGTGCCGGTTCGTATAACATGCGGATGACTGCCCGATCATGGAGTCGGGGCCTGTCGATAATGACACATTCGTAAGGCTGAACGGCTACCTCCCCACAGAGACAACGACAAAAGTTCAAATCTTCCGCACAAGACACAGCTATCTACAATAAATTGAAAAATAGGAAGACTTGTGCTCAGGGTGTAATCGAGTCCCGCACACTACCCTACATCCTTTTAACCCATTAACGACGGCTCCCTTATTTGTGGGAGAAAAATTTTGAAACTTAGTGGAAAATGCCATAATGTCACTCATATTCCGCGAACAAAAATTCAGCCCCCTACCTCTGCACGAGCAAGGGGTGGTGCGTTTTCGCACCCGTCGTCGTTACTGAGTACAATTTCAGTACTAGAAAATGTTTTAATAAATTAATAGCATTGTAATGGAAACTACAAGAATTAAGTTGGAATTTTAATAAAATCACTCGAAAATTAGACGACAATAGTAACAAATAGTGAAGTAATACATGTTCCAAAGGTTGCACGTTATCATACCCTCCACCTTGGAAAGGAGGGTATTTTAACTTTGTCATTTCGTTTGAATCATCCCTAAATATTCATTGAAAACCCCATAAAGTATATATATATTCATAATTAGGACAAAATTCTAAGTCGAATTAACGATGTCCGTCCGTCTGTCTATCTGTCAGTTGAAATCAAAATACAGTCCCATTATTTGACGTAGAGCGTCAAAATTTAGCAGAACAATTTGTATTGTGTCTAGGATGGCTGGTATTGAAAATGATATATATCCGTCCACGTTTTGGTATAGTCCCCATATGACGGTACCCGCCTATATTGGGTATTTTGATGATTTTAGCCACACTTTTCGATGGAATTGTCTGAAATTCAACACAAGGAGTTCCTTGTGAGTACTATACCCTCTGAAAGAGAATTGTCTTTATAGGTACACAATATCGTATATCGCCCCATATATCGTCACCTTCCAATATTCGGTATTTTTAATTTTTTTTGAAAATTTCCTTATTCGTTTCATATGGTGGAGGGTATTCAAAGTTCTAATTATGGATATTGGAGAAAATTTGTTTGAAAATATATCAACGCTAATGGGATTTGACGTGCCTTTTGCACCCTATTTATTTATTATTATACTATACTTTTGATAGTAGTTAAATAGCTTAATTTCACAAATTTACAATATAAGGATTCGAATATACGTGCTGGATGTTGATAAGTCTGAAGAGTAACATAGAAGATCGAAAACATGATACTCAACGACCAATTTTATTTAGGTCTCTTTTTCGCTTTTCTGCAACGTCAGTCTTATGACTAAGAGGGTAATGTAATTTGATAAAAAGAAAATATTTTACCTTATAAAAAGAGAAAGAATCATCCAATTGAAAATCTATGAAAATTAACGGATCAGATTTGAATATAGCTATCATACATAGTGTCGGCCGATTTCATAAGTAGTGCACAATACAATACAATACAAATGCGTAATATCCGTCCGAATCAAATCAATTTAGGTACACGCAGCCAGGTTTAGTCTAGAAGTATATCTGGCAATCGGTTCAGATTTCGATGCTCCCATATATATTTTCGTCCGATTTAAAATTTATTGTGCGCCACATGTTTAATATGTATCCAATATGGATGGATTTTAAGACATCCGAGTGAATTCAACCCTGAAACAAGTTTCTAATTTGGTCAGAATCGGTATAGATATAGTTATAGCTCCCATATATATCATTCATCCGATTTGGGGTTTAGTCCCTCACATTCGTAATCTGTAAAAACATTTATGACAAATTTCATCGAGATCGGTTCAGATTTGAATATAGATTCCATATATATCTTCATACAATTTCATATTTATTGTGCACCAAATATGTAATTTTAGGTCAAGTTGGCTGGATTTTGGCACATTCAACTGAATTTGTCCTGGAGCAAATACGGCACTAGTTGAAACTCTGTTCCCATATATATATAATCTCGTTAGATATTTTTAAAGCGAAATAATGCATTAAAGAGATCATGACAGAGAGCAGACGGTGTGACAGCTATTTTGATTGAGAGCGCTTCATTAGCCGTCGCACATATGGTTAACCGAAAATACTTTTCTTAGTAAAAAAGTACCCATTAGCGTCGACGGGTGTGAAAACGCACAACACGTATATATGCAAAGACGTTTATATGTACAATTTTGAAAATTTTATGAGTTAAATATAGGGCAAAGGGCTAACGATCCATACCAATAGATATTTGAAAAATATTATTTTTCTATATGTTTTCTATGTATAATAGGGTTATTTTTGCATGTGGGAAAACCTGCACTTGGCGATGCGTTTATCATCATGTAGGCGACGTCTGATGAAAAAACAGCCAAAGTCAAATACTACCTATACCAAGAAACAGAAAAGCGATATCAAATATTAAACCGTTTCTATGCATGCTAAAAAACACCTCTATTTTTGGTGCGTTTTCGCACCTCATGCTAGTGCTCTTCCCAACTCATGCCAGTAGATTTTTTCCTTCAACCTGTGAATTTTTATACCCTCAGCCATATGGCTAGAGAGTGTATATATAATTTTATGCGGCTAAAACGTGCCTCATCGAAATATCGGTTTTAGACCCCAGGTCTCTTTGGTTCAAATCCGTTTCAGGACATTTGGAGTCGATCTAGCGATTTCCGTCCATCTAACTGGCTGGCTGGTGCGCACGATAACTCTCGAAGGGAATATCCGATTTAGTCCAAACTTGGTACATCGTAATATTATTATCAAACTTAGATCGACTTCGGAGATGGGCAATATCGGTCCACTCCAAAAAAATATTTTACTACAAAAGAGAAAGGATGATCCGTTTTTGCTCCAACTTTGCATATCCTAATATTTTAGGTTACAAATCGTTGGGGAGAAACGTTCGGCTATTTTCCTTTAACTAATTGGCTTGACGTAGAAATCATCATAGGATAATTTAGTAAAAGATCAACAAATATTAAAATAACATGATTATGTTGTTGTCCTATAAGTCGTATAAAAAACAAAAGCCACTTCACAGTCCACCCTTGAAAAGTTGTACCTATCGCATTTGTTACATTAAATTCCTGTAATGTATTACCTCGATTTTCCCGAGCCAACTGGGCCAATAATGGCCACCAAGGTGCCGGGTTGTACACGCAAATTGACATCATCCAAAGTGTATTCGCTTACATCGGGATCCCATTTGGCCTTTACGTTGCTGATGAAAATGCCAGCCTGTGAAAGTGTGGCATGACCATTTGAGACCAGTGGCTGTTTTTCGGCATCTTCTTCTTCCAAGATTTTATCATCATCTTTCACCACTGTCGACTGATTACTGCCATCATAGTTAATATAATCGGCAGATTTGTCCACAACCTGAGTTTCTTCGTACAACATAAAGTTTTGAATACGTTTTATGGAGACCAATGTTTCAGCCATCATAGAGATACCTAGAGGCAACAAAAAACAAAGATCCATTATTAGAGTTCGAATAGATGTAACAATTTCCACATTACCCTGAGGAAAGAATACTGTCATCGTTGTCCTTAAAATATTATAATAGGCTGTTATCACAAAGGCCTGTTCCGGTGTTAGGAAATTACTCAACAGAACATAGCCCACCAAACTGAGGAAAATCGATACGCGAGTTAGGAACATTATGAACGACAAGAGGATGCCGCGAATATACGACGAGTGACGAATGCTGTTGATCTCCTTTTTGCGGGCATAGGCCACTATCTTGCCAAAGGGATACTCCCAGGCATACATTTTAATGACCTGTATGCCGGAGATGATTTCATTCATCATGCGGACACGTTCATCGGTACGCAAGGCGGTACGCAGACGCAGAACGGATGTTTTTTTGCCCAACCAACCCTGCAGGGGGATAAACATCAACATAAAGGCCACACCAAATACAGCTGCAATGCCAATCTGTAAAAAGGAGAAGATTATAAAATTGTTGGCGGATCGGATGGTCCACCACCTACCTCTCTATACATCAGATACGTTATCAGGCACGTCTCCATGGGTCCCACCCAAAGGTAGTGGATGAAAATCGTTGCCAAATCCAAACGTCCAACATCATTCGATATCAAATTGACCACCTGACCAGCAGTGGTACTTCCCAGAGCAGTCTTGCTCAGGCGCAACGATTTTCGATAGATCAGACTGCACATGGCCACGCGTATCTTCATGCCCACATGCATCGTGCCCAGCATGTAGGGGTGCATAAACATGACATTCACCGCACTGCACGCTATAACTCCCGCGGCATACAGATAAGCCGTTTGTATCTCTTGTTCACCCTTCGAATAGTAAGCTATCAGGCCCATGAGAAACAGCGGTTGTGACGTTCTGAAATGGAAAAACAAAAGAAACCAAATGAAACGACCGATAATAATTAGCAATGACACATGTCATGCCACACTGCAATGCGGAGGAATGAATGAAACGGTTATTGATGTGGACACATTTTCCGCATGCGTAAATTTACAACAAATGTTTTGTTCGAGTTTTGTTGAATAACCAATCAGAAGCTGTCACAGATTCTAATAAAGCAATCATGACGGCTTTAAAGGATTAAATGTGACATGGAGCGCCATTGGTCCAGTGAAATGTTAAAGGTTGTTACATTGCTACTCTTTTGGTTGCGAAATTACTTTGGGTGTCCAATAGAATATTCTTTGATGAAGTGGACAACTATTCACTTTCCAGAAATAATAACAGCGGCGCCTAATTCTTCCAATTTTGAAGACCCTATTGTAACATACATGGTACAATTAGGAAGTAGAACAGCTGCGTTTAACTATGCAACCCTGAGGCTATGCCCGCTTTCTGTCCTCATTACCCAGATTTCGCTAAGAATGATGTTTTCTTTGAGTGTAGAAAACCTTCCGGGAGAAGGTATTTAAAGCTAGTATTTATTTCCGAATAACCCCTATATAACGGTACGTTCCAAGTTCACGTTCTCAGCCGCTTTGGTATGGTCTATGACGGTGGAGTTGTTGGTATTAGGTCAAACAATTAAGCTGCAAAAGGGTTTTTTAACCCCAGATTAATTATACCCTCCACCATAGTATGGAGGGTATATTAAGTTTGTCATTCCGTTTGTAGCTCATCGAAATATACATTTTACACCACACAAAGTATATACAGGGTGAGATGGAAAAAATGGAACCAACTTCAGACTGTAGACATTTCTAAGCCACTCGTCCGACAGCTGTTTAAATTATTCCAGTGACCGCTCATTATATTGTTTACAAGCGTACAAAAGCATTTTGGTGCGAATTCACCAGAAAAAAAGTTATTCGTGATGGAATTCAAGCGTGATAGTGTGATTTCCTTATATTTGGCTGGAAAACCACAAGAGGCTATCGTTAGAGCACTTCAGCACATAAATGTGAATAAATCTTTTGTGTCTCGTACCATCGCTCGTTACCGTGTTACACTGGTAGCATAGCCCGACTTCAAAGAAGTGGACGGAAGAAAACAGCATTATCAGTAAAAATGGTTCGAAAAGTAAAGAAGCGACTTCATCGAAACACGCGTCGCTGTGGTCTAAAAATGGCTCGTGAGCTGAACATATCGCAATATTCCCTTCGGCAAATATTAAAAAATGAGCTCAGGGTAAAGCCATTGAAATTCCAAAAAGTGCAAGAACTTACACCGCAACAGAAAGAAATTAGACTCAAAAGAGCTAAATAGTTGCCTGGCTTGGCCGAAAGTGGTGAACTGCCGAATTAGGTTTCCTCCGATGAGAAATCATTCGTTGTCAAGCAGTTTTTAAACAAACTTAATGATCGTGTTTACTTGCCAAAGAGGTCAGCTGAAAATGTGCACCTTCGGTTGGTCACCAGAACTGAAGCGCCGGCCATGGTGATGGTGTGGGCCGCCATAATAGCCGATGGTCGCTCTCCGCTCGTATTAATGGACCGTGGCTTCAGAATAAATGCGGAATATTATCGCGAAAATATTCTGGAGGGTGTATTAAAACCTTGGGCACGCAGACCTTGGACATTCCAACAGATCCATAGTTACTTTTGAGGAACCGCTTTCTGAGTCGATTTATGCATGTCAGTCCGTCTGTACACATACAAACAATGTCATTTATTATCCGATTGAGATGAAATTTTGCAAAGAATATTTGTTTGGCCCAAGGACGAACCCCATTAAAATTGGTGATAATCGGATCAGATTTAGATATAGCTTTCATATATCTTCAATCGATTTCAGGTTAATTGTGCACTAAATGGCCAATATAAGTCCAAATGACCTGCATTTTGGTACATCCTACCGAATTCAGTCTAGGAGCAAGTACATCGTATTTGGAGAAAATCTGCTCGATATAGCTATAGCTCCCATATATATGTTTCATATGATTTGGGGTTTTAAATTCCTCAGATGCGTAATATGCATTCCACAAAATTATTTTTGGTACTGGATATCAGAAACTGCTCGAAAATACCTCTATCAAATTTTATCGAGATCGGTTCAGATTAGGATACAGAAACCAGTACTTGAAATTTGGTGTAAATCGGTTCAGATATAGCTATAGCTCCCATTTATATGTTTTATCCGATTTGGGGTTTAAATTCCCTCACAAGGGTAATATTCACTCCACAACAATGATATTTGACGCCGGGCATTAGATACTGCTCGAAAATACCTCTGCCTATATGTATAGAGATCGGCTCAGATTTTTATACAGCTTCGATAGAAGATTTTTTCATATTCAACTGAGTTTTTCCATTTGATGAAACTCGGTCCGATATAACTATTGCTCCAATAAATATTTTTATATCCTCCACCATAGTATGGAGGGTATATTAAATTTGTCATGCCGTTTGTAACACCTCGAAATATACATTTTAGACCCCATAAAATGATCAGCATAAAATTCTATGTCGATTTAGCGATGTCCGTCCGTCTGTCCGTCTGTGGTATTCACTCTAGCTTCCGAACGAATAGAAGTAGATTGATAACATTTTACTCAAATGTATATTATGTCTGCAGGACTTTTGGTATTGAAAATGGGCCATGTAGGTCCAGGTCTTCGTACAGCCCCCATATAAAGGCACATCCCTTCATTTGGTATTTTGATGATTTTAGCGACATAATTCTTCAGAATTGTTTCAAATTTGGTATTCGTAATGGATACTGCAGCCTAAGGCATAAAATTGTCTGTGCAGGTCCACATTTCGGTATAGTCCCATATAACAGTTCCACCCTATATTGATGATGAATGGTGGATGGTATTCAAAGTTCGGGCCGGCTGAACTTACAGCCTGCAATTTGCAATTTTGATTTTCATACCCGCCAAAAAGTATGCAACGATAAATTTTTGTATATTCTTCACATAAAATGATGTTTGCAAGACCACGGAAACCCCATTTTTTAATGGAGTTGATCATGTATGTGAAGAGACAAGAAATGAGAATTTTGAAGCGGTATGTTCTGAAAAAGTCTAAATATTTACAATTTCGGAGTGATGGTCAAGTGGTGTCATTCGGTACAGTTTTAAATATGTCTTCTATATATTTTTAACCAATATCAAGAATTCAATATTCATATTGATTTCAAATGATCAATTCTGAGCGACTTTTGCTCTTCTTTTACTGGACTCTCACTAACAATTCCTAGATATTTTTAGAATCTTTTCAAAGCCGTTCGAAAAAGAATCATCCCGTTTTAACTCAAATTTTCTATTTGAGACAATTCAATGAAATAGCTTTCATCCCATACCCAAAGATTCGATCTACCATTTTTGTGTTTTTATATTTTTATATCGATCATCAAAATGGTATGGCAAATCCCTAATGCATACGCCATATTGAATTAGATATTCTGATAAAAGCTTACCTTAAACCCAATTCCAGAATGAATAATAAAAATCCCAAAAAGGCAAAACGCCAACCGAACACACGCGTTGTGGCTCTCAGTAGACTGGGCTGTTTCTTGGAATTCGCCTTTTTGTCCAATTCCTTTTGCCATGACTGGCACATTTCATTTCCCAGGGTTTCTGCAACGAAATAAAAAGAATAAAGCCAACGAATTAAAACTTAAACATGTTAAATAAAAGCATATTAAAAAATATTTGGATTTCTATTTGCATTGCCTGTGTAAATCGATCCATCTACGCCAGTTGCGGGGAATTTTAAAACATTTCACAACAAAATTACGTCATTGCGGGGGCTCCCATGGATATTGAAATTTTGTGTCTTCATGTCATGCACGAATTTTAGAATTATTGACTTGGCTGTTGGCGATTGTTGACTACCTGAATGTCAGGTAAGTAAATACCAAATAAATATTTGCAAAAGACACAACAAGTATTTTAAAATGGCAAAAATTTGGAGTATTTACTTAAAACTATTTCATTACAGAGAGGACGGTTTTTTTTTTTAATAAGAACCATTACAAAATAAATATTTAAGTGACGCCGTAGAAAATGTTTCCATGTCATTTAATGTCATAAATACAATAGTTTAATAGTTTAAGTACTGAGTTAAGTTATGATTATTAACAAATAAAAAAGCAGCAAAGTTCGAACATGCCGAACCATTTGGAAGAAACTTGCAAAATGTAAAAAAATACATTGAAAAATGCCGTAGGAATATCTGGAGATACGTTGACCTCTATAGGCAGTTATTTGCCAGCGAGTGCCTATTACGAACTTCGAATACCAAGTTTTAGATAATTCTATTAAAAAATATAGCTAACAACAGGTTATTTTCTGTCATAGGAAATAGTACTCCTTGCCAACTCCGAATTTGACCAAATTCTTAACAGCAAATTCTGTTCAAAAATATTCCTTAAACCGTCAAAACAACTTCAATATGGCGGCACAGTTATATGGAGACTATATTAAAATGTCTACGGACCTAATCGATTCTGATGTTAGTCGGATGTAATTATTACCATGGACCAAGTTTAGACTATATCGATTCGTTTTCTATGAAATATTCATAGAGGTACCAGCTCGAATAAGTGCGAGTGTGATCGAGCAGATTCTACTCTTGCCGAGTACACTTCTAACATAGACTAATGAAAATATAGGCGAGGGAATGCTCTCACCGCTTGTCATCGAAAATATTCTCATCAGCAGATGTCGTATATATCGTTTCAGGGGTATGAGTGACAATATTAAGTCACTCAAGCCTATAATGTTAAAATATATAACCACTGTAAGAAATTTAAGAACTGTATAAATGGTACATTGGAATAGAAAAACTAACCAAAACAAAATTCAATTAAACCGTTTTCGAAGTCGAAGAGTGTTTCGACCATGCAAAAACATACACCTGACCGGAATATAGCTGATGAAGCAACATTTTCGTCTTTTTAGCAAAAAATGTCGGAAAAAGCATCAAATTTTATAATAAGTTTAGATTTGTTCGAATTGGTCACCTTTGGCACGAATTATGGCCTTCAAACGGCCAATGAAACCATCACACGCTGCCCGAATGTTGCTCTGCGGTATTTTGGCCCATTCCCGGCGAAGCGCTTGTTTGAGGTGATCGACACTTTAGTATTTTTTAGTGCCAACCTTGTTTTCCAAAATACTCCAGACACAATAGTTCAACGGATTGGTATCTGGAGATTTTGGTGGCCATTGTGCGCTGGAAATGAAGCGAGGAACCTCATTTTGTAACCATTCTTGGGTGGCGCGAGCTGAGTGCGATAGTGCTGAGTCCTGTTGGAATGTCCAAGGTCTACGGCAAAATGTTTGCGTGCCCAAGGCTTTAATACACCCTCCAGAATATTTTCACGATAATATTCGGCATTTATTCTGATGCCACGATCGATTAATACGAGCGGAGAGCGACCATCGGTTGTTATGGCGGCCAACACCATCACCATGGCCGGCACTTGAGTTCTGGTGGCCAACCGAAGGTGTAGTTCTGCTGGTGTTTTCTTCCGTCCACTTCCTTGGGGTCGGGCTACGCTACCAGATAGCCTCTTGCGGTTTTCCACACTATCACGCTTGAATTTTATCACGAATAACTTATTTTCCTGGAAAATTCTCAAGAAGCTTTTGTACGCTTGTAAACAATATAACGAGCCGTCACTGAAATAATTTTACCAGCTGTCGGACGTGCAGCTTAGAACTGACAGCAGTCTGAAGTTGATTGCAGTTTTTTCATCTCACCCTGTATAGGTGCTATATCAATCATAGAAGCTATATTCAAAATTATGACAGCTGTTACAGGCCGTAGTATCTATTAGGAACTTACAATACGAAATTTGAAACAATTCCGGTGAATAAAATCACTAAAATCTTCAAAATATTGAATATATAGGGGAATATCGTTGTGTGGGGCCATACGAAGAAACCGACCTATATCTCATTTTCAATAACAAAAGTCCTGCAGACCAAACACACACCTGAGTAAAATGTTATCAACCTATGAAAACTTAATTTCGTCCGTAAGCTAGAATGATTCACACAGACGGACGACCATCGTTAAATCGACATAGAATTTTATGCCGATCACGAATATACTTTGTAGGGTCTAACATATATATTTCGAGGTATTACAAACGGAATGACAAACGTAATAACCCTCCATAATTTGGTGGAGGATATTAAAAATACAGTGCCCAACTACATAGTGAGGTTATAACCGAATGTGGAAGGTAACAAAAAAGTGGACTGATATGGACCAACCTCACACGAGATCTAATATTGGTAAAAATATTGATTTGATCGAAGTTTGAAAAAACCAAAAAATTGATTTTATTCATTAGAAATGTCTTTAGTATTAAAAATCTTGACCTTTCGTGACGGGGATACGAAATTTCGAATCAATGTTTAGTCTTCGAAAATTTTTTTCCAATTGATTTGTTTATCATGGACGAAGAAAAATATTCTTATTTCAACTTTAAAATGTTTATTTTGTGGAGTTTTAGTACAAATTTTTCAAAAACCTTGTTTCTCATACCAATTTTTTACATTTTAGCCACTGTTATTTCTTAGATATGCGTCTAGATAATTATTCTCTGAATTTTGAATAGAATATCTGAAATGTTTTCTACACAAGATTGCTATTGATGTGAGAGGCTTATTTCTTTTTTGTTTTTCATTATTCAGCTCTCTTTGAATGTATTCTCTTAATTAACATATCGGAATAAATTTTAGATGTTTGTGCTGAATATTGATTTATATTTTTGGCATATTTTATGAGCTATTGTTCCAGTTTTGTTTTAAATATTCATGATAACTTTCATACACCTCTTTCAAGAATAAGCGATAAAACGTGATGTTCTACTGGGGAAAACAAAGACAATAGTATCAAAAATTACACTGTGCAACACAAAATATGATTGCAGGAAAATCAGTATATTATTTAAGCGGTGGATTTTAAATGGAAGTCACGTGCATTGGCGTTTTAAAAGTTAACACCGCAAAGAAACCTAACTAGAGTGGTAGAGTTCTACCCTCTTAACACATTTTTTGGATGTTTTCGTACTAATATTTCTTGAAATCCTCACATTTTACTTATATAGTATCATCGCCAATATTACTTATAATAATCCAAGATTTCAATTTTTAAAATTTCAGTCCCCAAGCAAGCCAACAAAGGGATCTTTTTTCATATTTTGTTGGGGAATTTTAGCATAAAATCGTAAGAAAAACTGCAACCAACTTCAGACTGCTCGTCCGACAGCTGTTAAAATTATTCCAGTGACAGCTCATTATATTGTTTACAAGCGTAGAAAAGCATTTTGGTGCGAATTCACCAGAAAAAAAATTATTCGCGATGGAATTATTTCGTGTTAGTGCGATTTCTTTATATTTGACTGGAAAACCACAAGTGGCTATCGTAAGAGCACTCCAGCATTTAAATGTGAATAAATCTTTTCTGTCTCGTACCATCGCTCGTTACCGTGATACTGGTAGCGTAACCCGACGTCAAGGAAGTGGACGGAAGAAAACAGCAACATCAACAGAAATGGTTCGAAAAATAAAGAAGCGACTTGATCGAAACCCGCGTCACAGTGGCCGAAAAATGGCTCATGAGCTGAACATATTCGCAATATTACATTCGGCAAATATTGAAAAATGAACTAGGGGTAAAGCCATTGAAATTCTAAAAAGTGCAAAAACTTACACCGCAACAGAAAGAAAATAGACTCAAAAGCGCTAAAGAGTTGCTTCGATTGGCCGAAAGTGGTGAACTGCCGAATTTGGTTTTCTCCGATGAGAAAACATTCGTTGTCCAGCAGTTTGTAAACAAACAAAATGATCGTGTTTACTTGCCAAGAAGTCAGCTGGAAATGTGCACCTTCGGTAGGTCACCACAACTCAAACGCCAACCATTGTGATGGTGTGGGCCGCTATAATCGCTCTCTGTTCGTATAAATCGACCGTGGAGGGTGTATAAAGCCTGGAACACACAAACATTTTGGCCATTTCAACAGGACTCAGCACTACTCAAGAATGGTTACAAAATGAGGTTCCTCGCTTCATTTCCAGCGCACAATGGCCACTAAAATCTCCGAATGCCAGTCCATTAGACTATTGTGTCGAGTATTTTGGAAAGCAATGTTGGCACTTTAAATACCAAAGTGTCGATCACCTCAAGCAAGCGCTTCGCCGGGAATGGGCCAAAATACCGCAGAGCAACCATCGGACAGCGTGTGACGGTTTCATTGGCCGTTTATTCAATTAAATTTAAAAAAAAATGTCGTTTGACTTTGTTGCAGTTTTTTATCTCACCCTGTATACTAGACATTTAAGGCCGTTCTTTATGTGAGTTTATGATCAGCATAAAATTCTAAGTCGATTTAACGATATCCGTCTGTCTGTACGCCTGTCTATTGAAATCGATACGATACAGCCCACATTATTTGATGTAGAGCTTCAAAATTTGGCAGAACAATTTGTATTGTGTCTAGGATGGTTGGTATTGAAAATGAACGGTACGATTTTCGCCACATTTTTTCAAGGATTTTTCTAAAAATCGGTATTTGCAGAGTTAGTTTAAAATGTAACCCGTTTGAATTCAGATACTTTTA